GTTTAATGTGTTCCTCGCGCTCATAAGACCTTATGCATTTGAGAGCGGCCTTAAAATTTAAACACTTACCAAACAAAAAACAACAACAAACAAACAAACAAAAAATCCCACCCTAGATCACCTGCCAACCACCCACATTTTGCAATCTCTAGAGCCGGTTGGATCGGCTTCAATCTGTAATGGTTGCTAGGCGCTTAGCCGTCGCACACAGAAGACTGAAGGTCCATTCATGTATGGAAAATAATTTTGATCGAGTATCTCAGTCATACTGCTGGGACGTTGTATGTGAGGCAGCGTGGTGGAATCAGGCTCTCGTCAAAATAATCGAAGTGAATAAACTTGCATTTTTCCGCAGGTTTGTGAATTTTTATCAAATTTTTGTTTTTTGGTTCAACACCTTTCACGCCCATAAAAAAACCTCATTCCAGTGTGGATCTGTCTGAAAAGCGTTGATTAAAGGCACAAAAGATGTACATTTTCGGTTACAACGGACTCTTAAGCTAAGGAAATAATTAATCTTTGGCGGCCATTTTCACACTAATTTTACCTCTGAAAACAAGTGGCCCCCACCTCTTTCTTTCGAAAATATCTTGACTTGTATTCAAGATGAATGGGTATTTTTTTCATCCAAATAAAGACAAGTGAACAAGCTTTGAGGTGACACCAATAACTCTACATTCCCAAAAACTGACGAGAGCCTGATTCCACCACGCTGCATCACATATCCCTCTCGGCCTGGGTTGGGCATGACAAGCACAGATGACGCCCACCTCCACATTAACCTAAACTGATGCGACGATGACGTAAAACACTTATACGGGGTGCCCACTGGAGGATTGGGTCGGGTGGGTTTGCTAGCCAGATTGAGGGTGCAAAGCGGCTATCATGGCACAAGCCGATCGCGTCAGATCCGTCGCCTCAAAAAACAAAAGCGTTTATTTTCAGGCGTGGAGTCGGGCGATTGGCTAGACCATACCCAACCAATATTGTGTTGCAAGAGCCGTAAAATGCTTACTAAAATAAAACACACCCAACCAGACCAGACCCGACCCCAACCACAACAGGCACCCCCTATTACATCCTGATCATCAATGATTTATTTATAGAGGCACCAGCCATCCATGTCAAACCCCGTATTACATTGAGAGTGATAAAAGCAAGATGAAACTCTCTTAGCAAGTGTGTTTTTATTCTCATCAATTTGTTTCATTCTTTTCATCACTTATAACATGCAAATTATTCCAGAACATTTATTTTGTTTTAGTAGAGGTTTTACGGCGCTCGCAACTGTATTAGGTCATATAAGCGCCAGAAGGTTAGAGGTGTTACAAGAGAGTAACAAACATAAAAAAAGAAGGAGGGGAGATAAGGACGATAGATGTTTGATAGGAAAGAAGAAACAGACCACACCAGAGCACCCGCCAACCACCCACGAACATCTATGAATAATGGCAGTGTTCATGAATGATTTATTAAAAAAAAATTGACTGCCTCATCTAGTAAAATACAAATGTGTATAGGTAGGAAGTTCAAAAATACATTTATTGCAACAACCAAAAATTTTTTTAAAAAACAACAAAATTCCAACCAGCTCTTTTAAAGGTGGCAATGTGGAGCGCTGGCTATAAGAAGATTGGCTGTCGATTCAGCCTAGCTCATCTTCTTTGCAAAGGGGAGACACACATTTGAGACTACGCTTTCTCTTCCGACCCTCTACGTCTTCTTCTTTAATAGCTCCCCCCCCCCCCCTTTCCCTCACACTTTGACATTACAATAATCATTTGATATGAAGACATTTCTTATATATTCATTTTCGAAGCCGGCCAGATGCTTACATACACAAGTTAATCAATCATTTGCTATTTATCATTCATAAATACACAGTATAAAAATGCGCCAAGAAAATAAAGGCAATAGACATACAGTTGTAATATATTCACTAAAATATTTGAAATTCAGTAATATTGTATTGTATCAAACGTTCTGAACGCCTATCTGAAACTCACAAACCAAGTGGAAAAAAAGCCACTTACACAGTATGTCATTGTGAATCTGACTGTGAAGCTTTGCAGACATCGTCATTCTTCAGTTTTATGATTGCCTCGTTCAATCAAGTGAAACTACAAACATGATATCCAGTGTACCCGCGAAAGTGACGTATGGGCAAAATCCCTGTGACGTATGGGGGAAATCCCCGTGACGTATGTGGAAAATCCCCGTGACGTATGGGGAAAATCCCCGTGACGTATGGGGGAAATCCCCGTGATGTATAGGGGAAATCCCCGTGACGTATGGGGGAAATCCCTGTTTGAGGTAGAATATGTGTTAACTGATAATAATTAATATAATTTGTCGCATTAATCTTTTAGTTCGAAACAGACACGTATGTTCAATAAGCAGCAGGAAAGAGGGCGACACAACAGCATATTTCGCACATGAGTTCGCATATTTCATAATATGCATGTTGTTGCGTATCTTTTTAAGTCCCCCCCCCCCCCCCAAAAAAAAAAAAAAAAAAAAATTATAATAAAGAAAAAGAAAAAGAAAGAAAAGAAAACAGAACCGGAAAGTGGAATCAGGCTCTCGTCAATTTTGGGACACGTAGAGTTATTGGTATCATCTTAAAGCTTGTTTACTTGTCTTTATAGGGATGAAAAAAATATCCATTTATCTTGAATACAAGTCGAGATATTTGAAAATGGAGGAGGTGGGGGTCACCAGCATTCAGAGATAAAATTAGTGAGAAAATGGCCGCCAAAGATTACTTATTTCCTTAGCTTAAGAGTCCGTGGTAACAGAACATTTACATCTTTTTTGCCTTTAATCAACGTTTTTTTTCTCAGAAAAATCCACACAGAAATGAGTTCTTTAAAGGGCATGAAAGGTGTTGAGCCCAAAAACATAAATTTGATAAAAAATTCACAGACCTGCAGAAAAATGCAAGTTTCTTGATTCCACCACGCTGCCTCACATTTTGTTTAAACGCAAAAGGACAATGCTCGAAAAAATACATTGAGTAGTTAAAACAATTTATACACATAGTATTATTATTATTATTATGGGTTGAACACAAAAGGCTAATGTTCAAATAAAAAAGTCTATTAAAATACACGTCATGACATTTTGTTCGAATAGAAAAGGACAATATTTGTAAAAAAAATTACACTTAGAAAATAGTCACAAACAGAATATTTTGTTCTAACACAAAAGGACCATGTTAGAACAAATAAAACTAGTTAAAGATTTATACATAACATTTTGCTTGAACATAAAACAACAAGGTCCGAACAGAATAATTAGTTAAAAATACACACATAACATTTTGTTTGAATACAAAAAGACGATGTTCGAACAAAATAATAATTAGAAAATAATTATAAATAAAACATTTTGTTCAAACACAAAAGGCTTTTGTTCGAAAAATACATAGATTAGTTAAAACAATCTATACACATAACATACTAGCCTTGTACCCGTTTGTCGAACGGACTCAAAAGAATCGATCGTCTGGTCATTATGGAACCAGTGCGAACTGCTTGTGAACGTAAACATCGCCTGTTTACAATGGCGTCTTAGAAGGTGGACTTTCCCAAGATGAGATCAAAACGAAACTAATGAAAAACTGAAAAACAAACTACAGTGACCTCAGACTCCTTAATATAACTGTGCACCCTTTAAATGATTCTGAACCACCGTTATTTTTTTCAAATTCGAAACGCAAATGGTTTGGAAGTTTGAGGGGATCAAAGTGACGAACTTTAAAAGATATAATATAAATAGATCTAGGATTATTATGGGTTGAATACAAAATGACAATGTTCGCACAAAATATTCCTTAGAAAATGATTATAAACATAACGTTTTGTTCTTTCACAAAGGGACGATTTTTGAACCAATAGAATCGGTTATACACATGAAATTTGTTTGAACACAAAATAGCAATGTTCGAACAAAAAAAAAAAAAACATAAAGGATAATCATAAATAAAACATTTCGTTTGAAAACAAAAAACAGTAATCAGTTAGAAATATACACATAATATTTTTTCTGAATGCAAAACGACAATGTTCGAACAAAATAATAATTCAAAAAGCAAGTAAACTTATAACAGTGTGTTTGAACACATAACGGCAGTGTTCGAACAGATAATTCATTTTAAAATAATGGACTAATTTTATTGGCAATAATTCCGTTCTCTTGGCACCACTTTCAACGAAATTTTGAACAATTGAAATTAAATCTTGTTTAATTTGAATTAATCAAATAATTAGGAAGAGTACCACACTGCACCTGTCCAAGAAATATGAAAAAAAATCCAACCAAAATAGAGTTAAAAGCAAATTTTGTTTTAATTTAGTTTTAGTTAGCTTTAGTAGAGGTTTTACGGCGCTCGCAATTGCATGAGGTCATATGAACGCCAGGAATTTTGTTTTACAAAATATCAACCATAATAATTATTAAGTCGCGCTCATGATCTGATTTCGTTGCGTGCGCCGTGAATTCTTACTAAACTATTAACCACAACATGTATTTGTGCATTAATTACCAACACTTCTGGAACTTTTGGCTGAGATCAAAGTGTAGTAAACTGTTCCCGACTTTTTCCAAGGCTTTGTGCATACTGATAAGCGGAGCGGATACTGAAGAATCTGATGAGTGACGGAGAAATATGTGCCTCAGTTATTTCTAGTGGAAGGATTACCGTCCTCTTAGAAAAACAATTAACAAAACATTGTTTGACTGGAACCCCCTCCCCCTTTCTCCCTTATCCACCACCTACCCTAAACCTACTTAGATGGCGCTGTATCTAACACTTGGTGTTGGTGTAGCTGCCGGTAGAGGGCGCTGTATCTAACACTTGGTGTTTGTGTTCTCGATGTATACCTGTTTTATGACAACACCCCCACACACACACACACACGCACCTCCCCCAACTGCCGGCAGATGGCGCTATATCTAACGCTTGGTGCAGGTGTAACTGCCGGTAGATGGCGCTGTATCTAACACTTGGTGTTGGTGTGCTCAGTGTTCACCGCGTCCCTCAGCCTGTTCAGCAGTAAGAGAACCTGCTCGTTCTGAGGCACACCGGTCCGCCCCTCCTTCCAACTGGCCTTGAACCCTATCTTAGACTTCATCTTCACATCGGCCTTGACCTTGACGGTGAGCTCGCTGGCGTTCTCGTCACTCGCCGCCATGACTGTTCTAAAATCGCTGTCAATGGCGTCCATCTTGTCGCCTATGCTGGATGACATACCAGAGAAGCTGGTCGTCTTCTGATCGCCGCACGAGGAGCTCAGGTTCGAGTCCGACCTTGACCTTCCGATATAGCAGCTTCTTGAAGAGTCGCAAGAGGAGCCTAAAAACTCTTGAAACTGCAGCAGAGGCAGCTCGTTCTTCGTCGCCCCGTCTTTGATGGCGCAGACCGCGCGGGTGGGCGTGTCAGGCCAGTCGGTGTCTCCAGACATTCCGCTGCTACACCGCGCAAGACAAATGGCGGGGCCGGGGCACTTGACGGCTGACCGAGTGCTGTTCGCTGTGGTTGGGTCAAGCGAGACTGCTTGTCCGTCAGTGTGCAATGATTTTGGTTGGTCAGTCGGATCTAGAGGCGGAGAAGGAACACCGAATATCCCAAGGACGTTGTTGATGTTCCTCAGTTTAAGTTTTAAGTCAAACTTTGGAGATTTGGAACGGTTGAACCGTCTGTACGCGATGATCTGGAAACAGAAGAAGAACATAGTGACAATGACAATGACAATGACAATCTTCATTCATCTCGCAGGGAGAAATATGTCTTGGTCGTTAACAATGGCAGTAGACGTTACAAAAATTAGACCTAAAGGTGCACTCACGCAAACGCACAACAAGACAGGACATTAGACCAAGTAAATACATGTCTCACGTGCTGGAACAACCCGTTCCGTAAAAACATTCTCTCTCTCTCTCTCTCTCTCTCTCTCTCTCTCTCTCTCTCTCTCTCTCTGTGTGTGTTTCATTTGTAGCACTGTGTGTTCAATAACATCACTGCAGTTGGTACGAATTAATTTCTATATCTGTCTGTTCTTGCTTTTTTTGGAAATGTATCGTTTACTGCGGGTCGATAGTTGAAATTCCCTTGTCAGTTAGTTTAATTTAGTTTTAGTAGAGGTTTTACGGCGCTCGCAACTGCATAAGGTCATATGAGCGCCAGGAGATTAGAGGTGTTACAAGAGAGTAACAAACATAAAAAAGAAGAAGGGAAGATAAGGATGATAGATATTTGATAGGAAAGAAGGAGCAAACCACACCAGAGCACCCGCCAACAGCCCGATCCCTTGTCAGTGTGTAGCTATGTTGACTATAAAGCATTATTTCGGAGGAGTGCTTTCAAAACAAGGTACTTCTTGTATCCTGCAAACAGAGATTTTTTATGGGTAAAAAATCGAAACAGTTGTCAAATTTGTATATTTCCAACTGATATCTTTTCCTTCAAGCTCAACACGTCTTTTACCGTTTCGTACTCATAAACAACTGAACAAACTCAACCAGTAAGAGTGAAGTATCAATGTCTCTAGGGCTATCAGCTGAAAGAAACTCAGTTTGTCAGCTTGCATCACAATTGGTCGCTTTTAAGCACAAGGTGGCTATACCAAAAATGCTGTTTTGAGAAAATCGAAGGTAAAATTTTCATCATTACTTTTGATGTTCGGTCTGAGAGAGAGAGAGAGAGAGAGAGAGAGAGAGAGAGAGAGAGAGAGAGAGAGAAGGGGAGTAGCTACCTTAGGGACAAAAATGAGGAACTCTGTGACCGCCGTGACCAGGATCAGTATAGCTGCCTCTAGGGAGTAACTCATTTCCGGCTTGGAGTCGGTTGCCATGACGACCACCACGCCCACAGGGGAGAGTACCACCACGTTGTAGATACACAAGGCAATCCACTTGGATTCGTTCAGTTGGGGCAGAGACACCTGTGGACAGAACAAATTTAGATAAGATAAGATAAGATAAGATAAGATAAGATAAGATAAGATAAGATAAGATAAGATACATCTTTATTGTCCAGATCCTGGCACATTGGTTTGGTGTTCCAAGTACATGTATTTGTAAACACATCACATCACATGTATTATGTATTCACAAGTGTTCCTCTCCCCTCCCCTCCCCCCCTCCCCCCACAATTACCTTCCGCGTCTGTATCGCAAGGAAAGCGCCGAAGAGGATGACCACGCCTTGTATAGCAATGAGCGCCACGGTGAAGTGCAGCCCGTACTTAGAGTCGCACTTGAGGAACTGTTCCTGGTACATCAGGTCTTTGTCGGAGGAGGCCTGCAACAAAATAGTGGCCATAATAATAATAATAATAATAATAATAATAATAATAATAATAATAATAATAATAATAATAATAATAATAATAAAAATAATAATTTTTTTTAAAAATAATGATAATAATGAAAAAAATAATAATAATAAAAATAATAATAATAATAATAATAATAATAATAATAATAATAATAATAATAATAATAAAAAATAATAATAAATAATAATAATAACAATAATAATGAAGTTATAATATTAATGAAATAATAAAAACAACAATACATGTAGTAGTAATAGTATCAATAGTATAATATTATAATTAAAATAATACTATTATTTTTTTTGCTTTGTTGTTTATAATGATAATAATAATAATAATTCTTCTTCTAGTTCTTCAAGATCTTCTTCTAGTTCTTCAAGATCTTTTTCTAGTTTTTCTTCTTCTTCTTCTTCTTCTTCTTCTTCTTCTTCTTCTTCTTCTTCTTCTTTTTCTTCTTCTCCCTCGTTCTGTCACTCACCACAGGTGTGCCTATGTCGATGAGGTGAGGAGTTTGCGGCGAGACGAGGAACCAGGCGATGAGCACACAACAGTTGACCAATGCCAGGGCCACAATGATCACACACAGACTGCTGTCCTTGAGCATCTGGTCAGTGGTCAAGAAACATTTGGGGTCAAGAAACATTAAGGAAACACCTTATACACTGAAACCTTAAAAATTAATGATCACCATATCTCCATAACAAGAAAAGTGCTAGATTGGAACCCACAGGGTAAAAGATCAAGGGGAAGACCTCGTGGAACCTGGAGAAGAGTCTCTGAAATGGATGTGTACAGAAAAGTGGGAAGACGTGGAGTGACATCAAGCGACTAGCCCAGGAGAGGGAAAGGTTGAGAGTGTTTGTTCGTGGCCTACATCCTGATCCAGGGTGAGAAAGGCAATGATGATGATGATATCCACCCCCTCCCCCCTTTTCTTTCTTAACATGCACCTCTTAAATCATTACCCTTAGATGTTTTTCTTTTGCAGACAAAGTCTACGGGAAAAAAAACCTACAAACAAACTAACATGTGAATGTCAACGTTGAAAAGAAAGTCCAGAGAATGGGCTCAGAGACATGCCACAGGGTTATTCCAAACTACCAGTTCCGTATAGCAGCATTATTTCGTGTACATGTATTTATATAAGTAAGTTTGTTTGTTTTTTAAAGTACTGGGTGTCTAAAAAAAATTGTTAAAGAAAGAAAAGAAGCGAATGGAAATAACCCAGTATTTTTTTGGGGCTGAATTCAACAAAACGTCAAATAAATACAATTCAACTGACCAGATGCTCAAGGACTAGTCAACACTAGGAGATTTAGATTACCCCAAACCCTCTCTGAGTTTATTTGCTAGTATCATTTTAGTCTCAATTTGTTCATCAATGCACCAAATCGTGTTGATTTGCTAAAGGACAGGATGGTTGATTTTTAAAAGTTGCTGAACTTTGTCTTTCCCTCAACTTTGGTTAAAAATATGTTTCAAACTCTATATTTTTCGAAAATATCCATTGATTATTTTTTCATGTTTTTCAAATGTAACGCCCTCCTCCTCCTCCTCCTCCTCCTCCTCCTCCTCCTCCTCCTCCTCCTCCCCCCCCCTTCCAGGCTTGTTGAGTTGTATTTATTTGACGTTTTGTTGAAATCAACCCAAAAAATACTGGGTTATTACCATTCGCCTCTTTTTTTTCTTTAACAAAATTTTTTCGACACCCGGTACTTTAAAAAACAAACAAACATACTTATATAAATACATGTACACGAAATAATTTTAAACAAATGGATTTATTTCAGTTTTATCTGCTAATCGTTACGAACATAAAGTCATATCAGGGGACTCTCGTTGCCAGGAGGTTAAGGTGTTGGCCTTTCATTCAAAGGTCCTGAGTTCAAATCCGGGTAGCGAGGGAAACATTTTTTTCTCTAAAGTTGTCTCATTCCACCTTCTTTCCTGCTCTCTAGCAATGTTCTGACGTCTGTTTTCGTCTCCACTTTCTGCCCTTACCCCCTCACCACCTTTGCCCCCTCCTCTGGGCTCCTGACTCTTCCCACAGCCTTTTTACTACTACTCCTTGGCTCCTTCTTACTGCTGTCTTTCTGCCACACCCCTGATCTTCTGGTAGGAAAGATCTACACCTAGCCTTCTCAGAAAAGGACGAAAAATCAAGGAGAACCCATGTGCAAGTTGCGCACGTTAAAGATCCCTTGGTGGTCTAAAATCGATAAGAGTATTCTTCGACTGCCACCAGGGCAAAATTAAATTTTTCCTATCAACTGAAAATGTTTGGTGGGTCCCGCGCGCTTATAAGACAATGAGCAGTTGCAAGCGCCGTAAAACAACCAAACAAAAAAAATAGGTCATATCAGCTCTCGGCAACATTACACAAGAGCCTGCTAAAACAGTCACATGTCAAATACCATAACCTGTATGAACGACTACACCTCGCTCCCTTCCCCCCACCCCACCCCTTTGCTCAAACAGCGGGGTTTTTTTTAAGATATTATAATGGCACTGCCCCATGCACCAACTATCAAAGACAACCATTTACATGACCAAAATTGAGCCGATAAGCCGTAAAACACCTACTCAATCAAAGACAATCATATTTTTATCTCCACTACAAAAGATTGGCCGTTTAGGACAATTTCTACTGAATAGATGCTTTCCTGTGGGTGGTTGGCGTGTGCTCTATCGAAGGGTTCTCTGTCCAACCACCGGATATCTGGCGACCTGGCGACGCCGCGCTTTTCCCTTTCGTCAATCCACAGCCACTTAACGAATCGTCAGCCACATAGGCCTACTAACATTTGACACGGGTCAAACTTCCATCTATTTATAGGTAGTTACCGGAACATGTATAGGTGAAGTGATGTGACGTGATAGTCGCGATATATTATTTATTGAGATTGTTTTGGTCTCTCTTTACTCATCACCATGATAAT